CTCGTGTTCCTCAACAAAACAGTGTTGTTGAAAGGAAAAATCGTGTTTTGGTTGAGATGGCTAGAACGATGTTGGATGAATACAAAACTACTAGAAAATTTTGGGCTGAGGCGATTAACACTGCTTGCTATATTTCAAATCGAGTTTTCTTGCGATCTAAACTTGGAAAAACTTCTTATGAACTTCGATTTGGACATCAACCCAAAGTTTCACATTTGCGTGTTTTTGGTTGCAAATGCTTTGTCTTGAAATCTGGAAATTTGGATAAGTTTGAGGCACGTTCTACCGATGGATTGTTTCTTGGTTACCCCGCACATACTCGTGGCTATCGTGTACTTATTTTAGGGACTAACAAAATTGTTGAGACTTGCGAAGTTTCTTTTGATGAGGCTAGTCCTGGTACTAGACCCGATATTGCAGGTACACTGTCACAGGTTCAGGGGGAGGATGGTCGTATTTTTGAAGACGAGAGCGACTACGACGACGACGACGAGGTCGGCTCGGCCGGTCAGACCGGGCGCCAGGCCGGTCAGACCGCCGGCACACCTCCGGTCAGACCAGCGCATGATGAGCGGTCAGACCGGCTAGGTTCGTCGGGTTCGGGTACTGTTGATGCTGATCGAGATGGTCCTCCAGAGAATTCAACTTCGACCAGTACTGAAACAGAACGTGGATCAACTTCAGAAGTTGCTGCTCCTTTGCACATTTAACGATGACATCCGCCGGAACAAATTATTGGTAACATAGGTGAGCGGACTACAAGGTCTAAGGTAACGACTCATGATGTTTGTGCAAATTCTGCATTTGTTGCTTCTTTTGAACCCAAAGATGTGTCACATGCATTAACTGATGAATCGTGGATTAACGCCATGCATGAAGAACTTGAAAATTTTGAGAGAAACAAAGTTTGGACTTTAGTTGAACCACCTTCTGGACATAATGTTATTGGAACCAAGTGGGTTTTCAAAAATAAACAAAATGAGGATGGTTTGATTGTGAGAAATAAAGCTAGACTTGTTGCTCAAGGTTTTACTCAAGTTGAGGGTTTGGATTTTGATGAAACTTTTGCTCCTGTTGCTAGAATTGAGGCAATTAGACTTCTGTTGGCTTTTGCTGCTTCAAAAGGTTTTAAATTGTATCAAATGGATGTGAAAAGTGCTTTTCTAAATGGTTTTATACAGGAGGAAGTTTATGTCAAACAACCACCGGGTTTTGAAAATCCTGATTTTCCCAACCATGTTTTTAAATTGTCTAAAGCTTTGTATGGTTTGAAACAAGCTCCTAGGGCATGGTATGATAGGCTTAAGAACTTTTTGCTTGCGAAAGGTTTTACAATGGGAAAAGTTGACAAAACGCTTTTTGTTCTTAAGCATGGTGATAATCAACTTTTCGTTCAGATTTATGTGGATGATATTATCTTTGGTTGTTCGACTCACGCTGTGGTTGTAGATTTTGCTGAGACTATGCGCAGGGAATTTGAGATGAGCATGATGGGTGAGTTATCGTACTTTTTGGGATTGCAAATTAAGCAAACACCTCAAGGTACTTTTGTGCATCAAACGAAGTATACGAAGGATCTTTTGCGACGGTTCAAGATGGAGAATTGCAAGCCAATTTCAACACCAATTGGTTCTACAGCTGTGTTGGATCCTGATGAAGATGGTGAAGCTGTTGATCAAAAGGAATATAGAAGTATGATTGGATCTTTATTGTATTTAACTGCTTCTAGGCCAGACATACAATTTGCTGTGTGTTTGTGTGCACGATTTCAAGCTTCTCCTCGTGCTTCACATCGTCAAGCGGTCAAGCGGATAATGAGGTATTTGAATCATACACTTGAGTTTGGAATTTGGTATTCTACTTCATCTTCTATATGCTTAAGTGGATATTCCGATGCTGATTTTGGAGGTTGTAGAATTGATAGGAAAAGTACTAGTGGAACATGTCATTTTCTTGGTACATCATTGATTGCATGGTCTTCTAGGAAACAATCTAGTGTTGCTCAATCAACTGCTGAATCTGAATATGTTGCTGCTGCTAGTTGTTGTTCACAGATTCTTTGGCTTTTATCTACTTTGAAAGATTATGGTATTACTTTTGAGAAAGTACCTCTCTTTTGTGATAATACTAGTGCTATCAATATTGCTAAGAATCCTGTTCAACACTCACGCACAAAGCACATTGATATTCGTTTTCATTTTTTGAGGGATCATGTTGAGAAAGGAGATGTTGAGTTACAGTTTTTGGACACCAAGTTGCAAATTGCTGATATTTTCACTAAACCTTTGGATTCTAATCGCTTTGCTTTTCTTCGTGGTGAATTGGGCGTCATTCATCCTTTTGGCATGGTTTGAGAGAGAGTTTGTACCTCATGGTTTTATCAAGCAATAATATGACAATGAAAAAATTGATCAAAGTGAGCTTTGTTTATGCATATGGTATTTTCTTGTGCATGCTAGCAATACTTTGAAGGTTTATTTGTCTCTAGCATAGCTTGTATGTATTCTAGTCTTTTCATGAGATTTAGATTTTGCTTTTAAGGGAGATGATACATGACACTTAAATTCTATACTTGAATTAGGAAAATATGCAATGTTGATGCTAGCATATGGTTTGATCTATAAATGCTTTATATATATGCTTTATTGACTTGTTATTCCTCAAATAGCTTTAATTGCTCATTGTGAAAAAGAGAATAAAAAATATGAAAAAAATGAATACCGAATCCTTGGAAACAGTCTTGACGATAAGGACGTATTCGATGTGAGCAAAATAATGGGTGCCGAATCCCTGGAAACAGTCTTGACGACAGGGCGTACCCGGAATAAAAAGAGCAAAATATGAGCAAAAAGGCTCAAGAAAAGAAAAAGTTAAAAATTCTCTTGGTTATTTTGTGCTAAAGGATATTTGAGAAAGAGTGATAAATGCAATAGGTATATGTATTTAGTGTTTATTCTTCAACCTATGTGCTTGTTAAGATGTTGCATTATAAATCGTATGAAATCATGAATTTTGATTGTTGATTCAAGCTTAATTGTAAAATCTTGGGTTTATGGTTATACTTTAATGCATGCTTGTTTTGTTATAGATGGGTTTATCTTCTTTTTATTGCAACACATGACTTGATATGCTATATGTATGCTAAGCTCTTGAACATTAATGAACATAATTCCTATGCTTGATGAAATCATTGTCAAAGGGGGAGAAGTAATGTGAAAATTTTTGGATTTTTGGATAAGCAAAGTGGATTTTTGAATAGTTGTTAAGAAGAGCATGTTTTTGGTTCAATTGGGAATTTCTTTCTTTTAAAAAGGGGGAGAAGTTTTTCTTTTGGATTTTTGAGCACGATGTGTACATTTGTACGAAGTGTGCTTTTTACCACTTTTGTTCCAAACACCAAAACATTTTATGGATTTGCCAATGTGTTCATCAAGGGGGAGATTGTAAAATCAAAAGTGTTTTTGATTCATATTCTGTGATGAACAATTGGGCATTGGAGATTATTGGTTTTGTTATTAGGAATTTATTCACGAAGTGGTTTGGAGATGATTGGATTTCACAGGTGAATATACAGGTACTGCTGTGATTGTGTGGACCGGTCAGACCGGGCTCTGGTAGCCGGTCAGACCGACGTGTAATGCGCGGTCAGACCGGCGCAACCCGCGGTCTGACCGGCCGATACTGTGTCGATTTCGGTTTCGGGTTGTTTATTTGGATATCCGAGTTTATTCCATGATTATGACTTCTAGATGGATACTATACGTATGTAATACTATTGTTTGCTGCTAATGAGTCAAAGTTGGAGATAGCTTGGTCTCGGAATATGGTTTCTTTGTTTGTTCCATGTGTAGGTAACTCGATGTCTTGGGAGAGTATTTGCGGTGATGGACCGGGAGTCGGCTTGGGGATAAGACGACGTCCGTGGTGGTCAGAGATCATGCGGGATACTTAGGCAAGAGTTGATGCACGTGGTTGATGGAGATTCCATATGGCATACGATGGAGTTATTGTGTGCGTATGGGATGCGGAGTAGAATTTGGAAGGAGTCCAAATTTGGTACGATTGGTTATGTAAAGTTTCTTTCTTGTACTAGTGGGTTTCCTAAGGTGTTTAGGACTCCTAGTATGAGTTTGGTTCGTGGCTTTAAGCTGCCTACCTCATGTATAAATAGAGGGGGAGCGTGAGGCTTCCCGGTATCGCTTTAGAGAGCAATTGAGTTGAGTTTTGAGTTAGGGTTTTGAGTTTAGTCGAAAATTTTGTAAGGAGTGCTGTTGGTGCACTTTGTAAACACAGAGAGAAGTAATAAAGTCGTCATCGACTTTAAGAGTTCTTCGATTTGTGTTTCACCGGGTTTCGGCGGTCTAACCGGCGGCGCACCGGCGGTCAGACCGGCGGCATCGCGGCGGTCAGACCGGCGGGCACACGGCGGTCAGACCGGCGGCAACAGGAGTCGGCTGCAGGCGTTTTCGGCGGTTCGACCGATCGATCTACATCGGTCAGACCGACATTCATCAGGCGGTCAGACCGGCGCAACTACTTCGGTCAGACCGCGATCCATCGATTTCGAGGGTAACTTTTATTTCCGCTAAAAGTTTTCGGTTTTTGGGTATACCAACCATTCACCCCCCTCTGGTTGGCTTAGTTCTTGTGATTCGATCCTACGTGCATAGTTTGTTGTTGAGTGCTTCACTGCTACTGCTACTAGCTAACATTCATGCATATTATTGTGCTACGATTGGAAGGCATCAGGAATTGAAGCTTTACCAGAATTTTCACAGTGGGTAGGCAAATCGATCTGAACTGGCACTTGATCCATCCACTACACTGGATCAGGTCATCAGTGGCGGGCTCAAACCGTCATCTCTAACAGGTAGGATGCTGGTTAGAGATGAGTGGTCAGCGATGACTAAACTCATCTCTAACGGGTGAAGGCTCATCATTAGTATGGGGCACCTTTGACTGGCTGCAAACGGTAACCTGTCAGAGGTGATGTTAATCCCTTTCACTAGTGGCATTGCAACCCGTCAAAGATGTAAAGTACTGTGAAAAAAAACAAAATTTATTCCATTCTAGCTCATTGCAGTTGCATTCATCTTACAAATTCACAAATCACAAAAATCATCACAATCACACATCTGGGCATATCCAAACACACATCTGGGCATCACAAAATCAATATGAAGCGCATCACAAAATTAATGAGAATAAAACAGAGACTTGCCATTGACGATGAAATCCTAAAGCCGTTGTTGCCAAGCTCGACGCCGGAGGAGGAAGTCAACGTCAATGGTGCTTCGGCGGTCATCGTCGCTCGAGTAGATCTAGAGGAGGCGACTACCGGTGACCTTGGGGCAGAGTGCGAAAGAGGAGGTGGCCGGAGCATGGGGGCATCTAGATCCGGTGGTCTCCAACCACCTTGAGATCGGATCTGGCACCAAGGAGCTCGAGGTGACGGAGAGATAGCGGTCGGCGACCTTGGGACGAAGAGAGGAGGCGGCGACTAGAGCATGGGGGTTGTCCAGATCCTGTGGTCCCCAACCATCTGGAGACCGGATCTAGTGCCAAGGAGCTTAGGGCAGTGAAGTGACGGGGGTCGATCGGCGACCTTAGGCGGTGGGCGAGGGAGGCGGCAGCCCCGAGCTCATGGAGGCCAGCAGCGAGTGAAGGAGATGGCGACGCTTTGTTTGGTTTGTTGTAATGTGATCAGTTACTGTTTGGTTTGTTTGATGCCAAAAATGTGTTCACACTTACAGAAATCAGACTCAAACGGTGCAGAAGAAGTCCGTTACTGCCATTTCCTGTTTCAAAAGTAAATGGTGAATCGTAATGATGAGCAAATAATGAGAAGTGACAAGGTGACCATCCCATATATATTGCAGATTGGGGTGTGTATGCTCATATTGATAGTTGGCAGAAGTGAACAAACATGACCATTATATTGCAAAAACAGAGAGAGTTCAGCTAGGCTCAGTTGACTGTACAAATTAGGAGGAATCCAACTTCCAATAATCTATGCGGGTACTGCAAGCTCATATATATGACAAGGTTTGGGTGGCTAGGATTGGGAAGCATCAGGAAATGAAGATTAACCACAGCTTTGGAAAGGTAGGCAAATCAGCTAGTACAATATAACGCATCTTCTAATCTCAATTATAGGTTCATATAGCTGTGCTTCCAGCTCTTGATCAAGGAACAGACGTTGGATGTCCATGGCCTATTCGGAAAGCATTGCAGGAACCACGAGCGCTGGGATTATCTCGGAGCTACGAGCCTCCTACACATTCAGTGATTGGAACTCAATTGCTCTTGCGGAATGAGGACGCGGTAATGTTCTTGCCTGCTTTGATTCTAAATTTGTAAGTGCTGCCAGCTTACCAGTCTTGCTATTACTCGCGGTTAAAATCATTCAAAATAAATTATATCAACCGGATGCTGATTTCTTCGATCCAGAGCCTTCTGGAAGCCGCAGTATATCACTGTTCCGTGAGATTTGTTGGATCAAGAGAGATTGCAGCAACTCAGAAGAATTTTTGTTCTCGAGAAACTGGCAAGATATCTGCCTTGATTTGTATTATGGATGGTGCGAATCACATGACCAGAGTAGTATCTAATTGCTGTATATTAACAAGGTTAATTCTCGTCACAAGACATATAGGCAACTCAATCTGTGTGATGTACAGAATTTTATCATGAAGGCAACTCTTTTTGAAAGATTCTTCTTTTCCTCTCAAGCCAAATATTCCACCACGTTCAAAGAACATTTTTTATAACCATTCACGAAAATTCTTTCATGCATTCATATAACTCAAATCGTTTACTTCCGTTGAAGCATGATGACAGGTGGCCATCATTTTGTCGATCAACTATGCATATAGTGAAAGGAGTTTAGAAGCAACTTACTAATTGTTAGGACGATAAATTAAAGATTTGTTTGTGTTTGATAACTTAAATGTTTGTGTATATATTGTGTTTGCACCTGTAACATAGAATTTTCTAGCACTTATGGAGGAGGGTAACACATGTTCTAATGTAAATATTAGGAAATTTTACAGTCTCTGTGGAGATACTAAATTTTCTTTTCTAGAATAAAATCTAATACCTCTAAATACAGTACCTATTAATTTATCTTAAAGCACCCATAAATTTTAATACCTCTCCTGGTCCCTATTCCTTTCTCCAACAAAAATTGGATAAACTTTTGGATAAAAGTGGCACTTTTTTCAAACGGTTAAACGGTGTGTTTCGTTCGAAAACTTTCTATATTAAAGTTGTTCTAAAATATAAGATTAATCCAATTTTTTCAAGTTTATAATAATTAAAACTTAATTATCACACGTTATTACCATCTCGTTTTACGTGAAACACTTAATCTTATCTTCAGCTTCATCTTCAGGATATTTAAACACCACCTAGTATCTCCCTACTGTTAACGTACGTATAATGAGATACTATATATTAACACATAAAAATCTGGTATCTGCCAATAACTTGTTATTTGTTAAGGGCCAAACAAATATATCACTTAGATACAAACCATATCTTGCAGCGAAAGGGCCTGTAGCCTAGTGGTTACAAGAGCCTCAGTAGCACCTGATGTCCTGGGTTCGACTCCCCATGGGAGCGAATTTTCCAGGATTTAACGGCGTTGTGCTTTCAGTGGTAGGCGACGTACCCGTCGACAGCGAGGCGCCTGTGGTGACTTCGTCAATCTCTCCAGAATTTGCCGGCCCAGTCTTCGAAGATGCTCATAGGGGTAGGGTTTGCGTGCGTGTGTTCATAGGGGTGGGTGACTTCGTCAATCTCTCCAGAATTTGCCGGCCCAGTCTTCGAAGATGCTCATAGGGGTAGGGTTTGCGTGCGTGTGTTCATAGGGGTGAGTGCGCGTGCGTTGTGAGTGTCTGCGTTGTACTGTGTAATTCTAAAAAAAAAAAAACAAACCATATCTTGCAGCTGCTCGTCAGGATCAACGTAACATAACCATATTGTTCAGTACATCACACGATATATAACAGTACTGGGATTGCAAGGCATCACGAATTGAAGTTTGCCCATGTTCCTAGCTGGACAAATGGAGAGTCATCGAATCATGCGTGGCATCTCTCTTCCATCGGGGCTCTTTCAGATCTTGCTGCAATGCCGTTGGTTAGTCTTCTAAGACGCGTTGGATCGACGTCACACACACAGACCGAGAGACACATGCGATCTGCGTCTATGATTGACATTAACCCGTGTCTCTATTACTCTCTCCGTTTCACGATGTAAGTCATTCTAGCATTTCCACTGTGAAACGGTGAAACGGAGGAAGTAATTGATTCTGTAGTAGTGCAGCACACATCATAAGCACTAGCATTGCTTATGTTTCTGGTCTCATTGAGCCAGCATGCTTTAAAATGAGGGACTGTACTTATCGTCTGCTCCGGTTATAGAGTAGTGTTATGGGATTCGGACTGAAATGTCCGAATTTCGCTCATCTCGGTGAGGTCTAAGACAACTTTTCACCCCTCAATTCGTCTCCATCTGATTCAAATTTGGTCAAAACTGTTAAATTTGGTTCATGTTTGATCGAATTTCGTCTGGAATATCTGAAATTCGTCTATTTTAGTGGAGCTTTTTTTTCTTTTTTTCTCTATTGGATCCCAGAACCCTAATATAGACAATTGTGCAGAATTTAGTGCCAGTACCTCATGACGTGTTGAAGACTATTAGCAAAAGCTTGGAGTTTTCCTACCTAAACAACTGAAATCTGCCCAAAAGAGTTTCTCACTTCACTTCATACTTCTTAGACATAGAAAAAGGTAATTCGAGGCTTCTTTGCACCAACTAGAAATATAATGCACACAACTGTAAGCCATTTAATCTTGTCAACCACAATGTAACCAACTGCTGTTTGGCTTGATGTTGCCTAAATTCAGGTATTTGCTAGAGCACCTTCAAAAATGGGAATCAGCAGCGTTGAATGCACCAGCTCATTATTCAGTGTCAGTTGCTGTCTGTAGAAGTAATGGTGAGAGTAGTCCAAGCACTAATGAACAGATAATGAGAAAGGACAAGGCTGGCTACCATTGCTTATATAAAGCTAATTGGTGTGTGCTCATGGCAGCTGGCAGAACATGCATGAGTGTTTCAAGAACAGAAAGATAAGTCGACTGCATAAAAAGGGTTCCAACTTCCTAGAAATTTACAGATGGGAGTTACTGGTAGCTTAGCTCCCACAGCAGGATCATGAGAGACTAGGGTGGTGTTTAGATCCAGGGACTTAACTTTAGTCCCTGTTTTTAGACACTAATTTAGAGTATTAAATATAGACTACTTACAAAACTAATTACATAAATAAAAGCTAATTCACGAGACAAATTTTTTAAGCCTAATTAATCTATAATTAGAGAATGTTTACTGTAGCATCACATAGGCTAATCATGGATTAATTAGGCTCATTAGATTCGTCTCGCAAATTAGTCCAAGATTATGGATGGGTTTTATTAATAGTCTACGTTTAATATTTATAATTAATTTTCAAACATCCGATGTGATAGGGTCTTAAAAGTTTTAGTCCCATCTATACAGGGCCTAGGATTGAGACACACCAGGAAGTGAAAATTTTCAGAGAGTTCTGTGCGGGTAGGCCAATCAGATCAGCCTAAAATTAATACAGTCCATGCCCTTAATTAGCTGTCCTATGGTTTTGAGTAGATAGTTCAATTCGTCAGTATGTCCTGACCATACAGAAAAGGCATAAATCACCTTTGTCACCTCTTTGTTTTCAGCTGATGCATGAGTGACCCAGATTGGCTGTCCATGGCCTATTTGGCAAGTGTTGCGTTGGTCACTAGTGCTGGTATCATCAGTTCGTCACAATGCTATGCGTGCCCAACTCGCCCGGTACCCAGGATACATCTTGCTGTGCTAAGATGAGGTGAGGTTCTTGCTGGCTTTAATCCTTGACTAGAAAATCAGTGCGCCTGTTGGCGCACCAATAAATTTATAGCATGTATATTTTATTTAGGGCTTATTTGGAATATAGAAAATTTACGTACCTCTTATTGAGGTATATTTATCACTCTAGCAAACTTCATATCAAATAATGAGATGCGGCAATATTATGTTTCCTCAAAACTGTGGCAATTTTATTAACCAAAAAATGGCGTATACGGTAAAATAGTAAAATGCACATTCAAAGAAATTTGTTTTTTTAAACACGGTACAAACATAGATGCCCACAACGCCCATACACTCATGCCTATGAACCCTACCCATATGATCATATTCAAAAGACTGGGTCGACATATTTTGAGATTGACAAAGTCAGCACGACTCATAGGTGCATCATTGTTGATGGATATATTGTCTATCACTAAAAAATATTAGCCGTAAATACGAGCACTCATCGTCTGGGCTGGTTTCACTACGAGTAACCTAACCAGTTGAGTTATACTCACTTCGCACATTTGAAGAAATATTGGTTCTTAGTATTGCAAATTTTCATCTAATCTTTCACCTTATTTCTGTTATTTAGTTTTTTTATTATTTATTTTGTAGAAATATATTTCTACTTGGTTCTTTGTGCACCCTTAGCCTGAGACCGCAACAATGCAAAATGTTGTAGCAACGGCGCCGGACGACCAGGCCTAGGGCAGGCATGTGCGATTGGGCTGTACACGCCAATGCATTTTTTTTAGGCAAGATTTGTTACAGGACACTCAAAAAATGTGTAATTGGCTGGGAGACACTGCAAAAACGAGACACGGCTGATGGACACTATAAAAATTATGTAATTGGCTATAGGACACCAGAGAGAATATTTTATAATATCCAGAACAAAAGAGGCGGGAAATTTTTCGAAATGACAAGATTGCCCCTGGCTCTATCTGCCTGCACACAGCTCTGCCTGCAGCTGGCAGTTGATAGTTAAATTGATGTATCAGCATATTGTTCAATGCCATTTTGTTGCATTTCTGTCCAAACATAAATTGCATAGATCTTCAGTAGCTTCGTCGTCCACTTTGGTTACTATGCAACCAATCCATTGTAAACTAGCTAGCATGTAAAGGTTCCAACTTACAAGAATCTACATATCCATAGTGTGGTACTCCCTCCGTCCTAAATATATTAAATTCTAGGCCTCAAGGTTTGTTCTAAAATATAAGAATTTCTTCGTCATCATTCTCTTTCGAACCAATCACAACTCTCCGCCATTCAATTTTGTCACCTACATCTACTTCTCAACCAATCAAAATCTTTACCCATTTAATTTTACCTACTTTCTTAGTACCCGTATCCAATCCTAAAATTCCTTATATTGTGGTACGGAGGTAGTAGCTCCTACAGTAGGATCAGCTATAAAGACACACACCTGCATGCTGTTGGGAGGGTGGGATCGGGAAGCACCAGGAATTCGAGATCGCCTGCGTTTTTTAGTAGGCGAGGAAATCACTGAAAATGCATGTCCATGCTCCTCTGCTGTATGTTACCATTGATTGTTGTTTGCCCTTCGCGACCATTTGGAAGACTCACCGTGAATAATGCCTATCACTGTCAGTTTTCAGATAGTGCTGGAGTCTTTCAAGCTAGCACCACGTCAGGAATCAAGGCAGAGATTGATTGCTGCATCGACTTTACCCATGTGTGTGTTTTGTGTATCTAGCTAGATCGATCGGTCTCAGGCCAGGCAACACATGAACGGGAATACAATATTGTATCCAGCACCAAATATT